TACGAGCAGTACCTTCTCATGATATCCGAATGGCAGCGCCGCATTCATCAGAAGCAAATCGGGATATCATAAATGTTTTCACACATGTTGCTTGCAAGCCACCCCATGTACATTCGGATCCACGTATCTGCGAATTTTTCACTTTTCAGAAGAGCATTAAAGGTATGCCACTCATGAATTTTCATGCGTTTTCGCAGACAGCCAAGAGTTGTGTTGTAATATGCAAATTTTAGTTTGGGAGATAATCATTTTGAACCCTGACCTGAAATGAATCAGCCTTTGGAGCTGGATTTGCTCTGTTAGATAATAATTTTTATTGATTTTTCTAAACTTTTGTGTTGATGCCTGCATGATTTGGATTTTTGCCTCTAGCTTTTTCACGTGTAGAACAGTGGAAATGATTTGCACTGCTGCCATAGTCATGCATATTGCTGTGTCAGTTTCGTCTTTCCATAGCTGACTTGCAAAATTTCTATGCTTAGAATAAAATAGCAATTGATTTGAACCGAGTTTCGAGTAAGAGGCTCCAGAGGCAACGGACAGAAGTCTATAAACATAAAAAAATTTGTGTAGATCATCAGATTAAATTCGTTGTGATTTTTATTGCTTTATCAAATGATCGTTTAATTGCAGCCGAACAAGAATCAGTGGCTGTGGATAACGAGCAAATTGTCGGGTCACCCGTTATTGAAAGTTTATCGGATTTTTTATTATCGTCAGGATCTCTTCAGGCAACATCCTCCTCAGCTGCTTCGCGTCGCCAAACATTGCCACGTCGAAGTCTTATAGCTTCAGCATTTCGTTTCATGTCCACAGCCTCCAAAGCATTTTCAAAAACTACGGGTTTACCATTGAATTCTAGTCCTGCACCGTTCGGCCGCAGCGAGAAAAAATTTCCAGGAAAGCGTTCAGTAATGGATGGCAGAACGGACATGGCTGAAGAAGCCGAAACAACAAAAATGGACACACGAGCGGATTTGTTGCGGAGGTGATATTTTGATTGGGTACGCAACTGAAGATGGCTCCTGATTGAGTGGACTGTAAAATGTGTGGACATTGCAGCGTCTCGGCGAATACGGAGGACAGTGGGACGAGCGATAATGAGAGCATTTGCACGAAGAGAAGCGCATCCTCGAGCAGTGGCTTACTGTGTAATTTCGAGGAAAGTGCGCTGAACGGTCGACTGGAGCCTGCGGCCTCCTTAGACGGGTTTCAGTTACAGATCAGTAGGCACTTCTCTCATATTACTCAATCAGAACTGTCTGTAAATGGCTCTTAAACTCAATACTAAAAGAGGCCTGGAACAGGTCACAATATTCGTGGCATGAAGTCTATAAATTTTAAACTTTCGGTTTACAATATTACATATTCGACATGTTATTAAAAGGTAAAGGGAATAGTCGAGCAGTATTTGAATCAGAAAGCATATGTGAATTGTAGTGTGCTACTTTAAAAACAGTTCTTGTCGTCTTAATTACAGGGTTTTTGTGAAAGTTTTCGAACTTCCTAAACTTCTGGCTTCAATCCAGAAAACCATGACCACGCTG